CTCCACTGTATTTCTGTTCAAAAGGGCTTATCTATTTGCCAGGCGGCCAGGCTCACTGTGAGCAAGTTGTTGGTGGTGGTGTTTGTGTGTTCCATGTTGCTTTGTTGTTGCTATTATATTAGTTATAAAACCTTTAGTGTACCTGTAGCTTTTCAATTTATCACCAGCAATCCAAAAGAACCTGTAAATATTGCTGTAAATAAACGATTACTATTTGTTTCCCGATTTGCGTGTGTCACATATTTGGTGCCGGCCTCACAAGACTGGATTTATTTTCCCCGTTTTGGCAACACTGGTGTCACAAGGGAACATTTCAGAAGTTCTGGTGCTTTGTGTTGATCAATGCCAAGCCTCTGATACCATTAGGAAGGCTGCAGAAAACAAAGCAGTAATTTGTAGTAAGGTGTAGCCACCAGAAAAGCAGCAGAAACTGTTTCATAAAAAGCTTCCATTCTAAGGGTCTCAAAAAGTCACCAGCAGAAAGGAATCACAGATAAAGCAAGTACAGGCAGGGAGATGTACAGTCAATCCCACAACTTCTACAATGCCAGGTGAGACAATTTGAACCGTCACAGGAGCCAGGAGCACTGCGACAGTGCGTGTCTGTGCTGCTGCTCTGTGGATGCAGGGACGCTGCCCTGCTGGCAGCAATTTTTGACAGTAGCTTAAGAGACATAGATAGGTCAGATACCATGTCTTTCACTCACAAAGTGAATGTGGCTTCATCCAGCAGCTCCCAGCAGTCATGGGCTCCCATCTACTCTGCTGTGTCTGCCCTACTCCATTGCCATGTACTCAGTGTTTCTCTTCCACCTCTGCTGACCACCTTCTCCCAGCTGCACAGTGTTTCCAGGGGCTCCTCAGAAATTTACCATCTCCTTCTCCTTTCCCTCCCCACAAACCCTCTTGTCAGTTGGAGAAATATCAAAGGGAGGAAGACAAAAAGCCATTAGGTAGTAGTGCTTAATGGAATAAAATTATCCATAAACACCAGTGTTTAGAAAGTAACTTCCACCTAAACAAACAGCATTGTTTACTGTATGCTCTTAAAATATTCACACCCCCTTCTTCCTGTACTCACAAGATTTTCCTCTCCATTAGAAATTAGCAGATAAGAGTGAAGAAAGGGCTGTAATTATTGCAATAAGCCTTCCCCAGTTCAGTTCCTGATAATAAATGCAAGTAAATGCACCTGTGCATGCACTAGGGCTCGAGTGTTATTATGCTCTTATGGGACAGAAAGGAGAGCTTCATGATGGTACTTACTTAAAACACAAAATCTAGAGTTATTACTTGCCTCTGAAATAATGGCAAATACAATCAATCCAAGAACGCAAAATCCACAGCAAATAAGAAATATTTAAACCAAAGCTATATGCAAATCTAAGTGAAAAATGTTACAATGAAATACAGCTTAAAGTTTCCTTACACAATGAGCTTTCAGCGAAGTCCATCTTTCTTATCACCCTACACTAATCTTGTGACTATAAAAAGATGCGTTTCGCTCATAATTCAACATAACTGAGGATAACATATCATCTTATTTACAGGAAAAACAGAAAGATCTGAATGTCGATGTGCTGGTTAACCCATTTTAAAAATCTGTACTGTAGAATAGTAATAACACATCAGTAAAGAAAATTAAGAATCATCTGACCAACAGATCTCAAAACAAAGTAAACAAAGGAAAATGAGTGCTGATTGAAAAGGCTCCTGGCTGGATTTATGAAGCGTCATTAGGCATATTTACTCACAAGTAAATACAAACTCACTGCAAAAGAAATAGCCAAAGGTTAGTAAGAATGGCAAACAAGGACAGCAAAAAGTCACAGGGATTCATGTAGTGTATGCCAGTAAAAAGGTACACCTCAAAGGTAACAAAAAGACAAATAAAAGCTTCCCAAAGTTTAATTTTATACTTTCCTGTTTTGAAAATGTACTTGTTATTCATAAATTTGGGGTTTAACAGAATGGAGAGGCATCTTCATATGCAAAATAAACAATTCCAGATACGGAAAATAATGCCTTTGATAAAACTAAAATAAGCATCTTCTAAAGAACATAAAGCACTGAAGGATGGAATGTGTAAGTCTGTGCAGTTTTGAGAAAAACTTAGAATACAATCTAAGGTTCAAATATGTTTGTAAATCAATCTGTTTTATCAATGCAAAATGCTGGCTTCATCTTTCGATAGTTCAGACCTTGAAAGGCAAGTCACAAAACTGTCAGTGAAAGAATTTCAACATAGTGAACAGAAAAATGAGTTTAACTTCTATATGGAAAAAGTATTCTGAAAGAAAGTAAAAGTGCACAAAGCTACTGGAAAAGTGAGTATTACTTGGTCACTGAAAGCACTGTGCAGTATTTTAAGTATTTTAAGACTGTTACATGTTTTGGTTCAACACAGACGTTACTAGCAAATTGAAAATAACACAAAAATAATTCTGGTCATCTCAAATTGTGACATATCTTTGGAAATTAATGTTAACAGGACTCAAGCTCTGGACAAACAACTAAATATACTGGGAAAATATCTGTGGAAAATAATTAGATTTTGAAGTTTATCTAAAGACAGCAAAAGTTGAATTTCCATGTTTTTATCTTAAGATAACTATATACACTCTGAGCAGTTTTTTTTTATTCAACTGTTAAACTACACCAAAACATACTTTTTTGTATGAAATACAAAGACATGTGGTTCATCAAGTTTAGAAAAAGCTTGTTAAGCATGACTAATTTTGTCAGACATAGAAAAGACCAAACTATGAAAACCAACAAAAGTTAGCATAAGAAAATGGCAATACATGTTGATTTTCACTGAAAGTTTTAATTCAAAAAGAAAAAGCCATGCAACTCTACTTACAAGTACTATAATGATTAACAACCCTGAACATTGCTTGCTAAAAAGCTTTGGAACATAGCAAAAAGGTCCTATGAAAAGACAATGGAAGTGGAGGTCAAAATAAAACTGAAACTGGAAATAAGCACAACGGGCTTTAAAAATAAAAACCAAACCAAACCAAACCAACAAACCAACCAACCAACCAACCTCAAACAAAAACCAACCAAGCAAGCAAACAAAAAACTACCTCCCCCGCCCCAAGTAAAATGAAACCAAGCAAGAAAATAAATGACAAATTCCTCCAGCTCATGACATTGCTTTTCAAGAACAAACACTGCAGTGAATGGCTTTTAGATTCACCATCGATGCAACTGCACGAGATTTTATATCCTGAGATATCAGTGTGGGCAGCTAACATTACTGAGGGTTTTTGGCATTAAAATCCATCCACTGATAAGTCAGGAGTGTCTTTTTTCGAACATTTCAGCTTTGTGAGCTATCGCTAGAGGTGCACTTTTGCTGGGTAACTAGGAATACTTTAGCATTGGGATCTGTATTAATTACTGGTTCATTTGGGTGTTATAAAGAATGCTTCTCTTGCCACTTCAATTTACAAAAGCAACAAAAAAACAAACAAAGCAACTCTTCCTATCTAAAATTCAGCCCACCTCCTTCTGCTTTCTAATAGGCCTTTCAGAAACAGCTTGAGTACACAGAAGGCTTTACCAGGCGCAGGAACATTTAACACTGCTTTAGCAGGACCAAAGGATTGTCGTAGAACAAAATAGCAGAAGTTAAGTGATCCTGAATATAAAGGATAGTCTAGGGATACATTTATACAGTAACTTTAATTTTGCAAAGTTATAAATAGAATGTCAGATATAAATAAAAATATGCATAGATTAAAATAATCTTGAACTGTGCCTGTAAGAAAATCTCTAAATACAATTAACAAAAGAAAGTTTATACTGTAACAACTCACCATTAAATATTTTTTCTAGTCTACCTTCAAAATTTTGACAGAGAATGTAATAATTCAGAATAATTTTTAAAAGCTACTATGTAAGCAAGTAATTTCTACTTGCATAAAACATTACAACCACCAGAGGTTAACGTGAAGGAAGGACTTTCATAAAACCAGAGCTACTTCATCCAGTAAAGAGTAGTTCCCAGACTGACATGAAGGGAAAAAATTAACCACTCATCTTCTCAGTGACATATACCTGCAGTATTGGACTGACAATGTAGAAAATTTACTTTTATTTATGTAAATCACCTGAAATAAATTCAGTTTACTAAATGTAGTTTAAATTTTAAAGTTAGCTATTATACTAGAGTTTGGGTGACTTATCATACCTATGAGATAAAGAGCCATGGATAAATCAGGTGAACTCCAATTTTAATTAAAATTTAAAATTTAAACCAGGTTAAAAAGAAAAATTGCTTCTGATACAAGCTGTATCAAAAAGTACCATATTGAAAGCCACTGAAAATATCAAACTTATAAGCCACGTGAGAGATATGTATGTTGTTTAATGTTAAAACCTAAAAACTGTGTTCCAACTTTGGCTTAATGTCATCAGCTGCTTAAATAATACTGGGATTACCTTATATTTCTATGGCTGAAACCTGTAGGACTATTTGGGTAAATACAATAGTATTGCTTCCTTCTAGATGTATTCAAAATGGCAATGCTGTGATCCTCTGAGAGGAACACAAGAAAATAATGCAGACTCTTTTTAGTATTTTATTATAAGCTATCTGCTATTTCATGCCACCTTCAAGGTCTTTCTCCAGGTACAACTATACAACAGTAGTCACTCTCAAGAGAAAGCATCAGTTGTCACCAAAAAAATGTGACATTTGAAAGGCATTAGACCCAAGAGGAAGGAAAAAGACTTACATAAATAATGTTTAGCTCCTCACAATGCTTGGTACAAGCATAATTTTAGAGGGCTGACTCTTGATAACTGATTGTTTGGTGCCAGCAGTATACAAGAAAACCTGTTAAACTTAAAGCTGCACATATCCTCTATTTTAATGCTTTGAGCTTCACAACCCCCATTCTGCTTCAGCTCTTTTCTACTTTGCCTGATCCTCTTTGTAATACATTAATAATAAATATAGTGAACTGACAGTAGTACAAACATCTACTTACAGGAATCATCCAGTTGGCCAGGTCACCGTACTTAGACACCTGCATAGCTCCAAGCATTGTCAAATCAACATGGCCTCTGGCAACAGAAAGTGTGCAATTAGCGTTTCACATTCAACTAACAGCCCACAAATCTTAACAAGCTTTTGTTCACACTCTCATTACATCAATATAAAAATGGTGGCATACCACAGAGGTAGCAACCATTTTGTCACACATGTAGCTGTTTTTTCCCCCCCTCTAGATGTATCAATTGATGCTAATTTTTCTGTCTGCCTACTGAGCCACAAAATTATTACTTTTGTCTGGTTTTGGTTAATTGCACACACAGTCAATCAGCTCTGAACTCATACTCTGAAGTGCACTCTTTCACATATTTACATGCACTCATTATCTTTTCAGAGCCATTAGGATTTAGTGTTTGTTTGCATCCAACCTCCTTTCCAGAAAAACAAACAAAAAACAGGTGCAGATGGTGAATTTCCATTAAGGAGGTGGAATGAGGATCACAGTAGCAAGCTGAGCAAAGAGAATAGGTAGAGTGCAAGTACAGATTAGATACTTGGAAATGACCAAAAAGTAGTAGTTAAAACATAGTTATAAATGTGTTTATATATAGCCAGGTGGTGGTAGCCATGAACATCACTATGGTATCTATTAGTTACAGTGTTTTTCTGTTTCAAATAGCTAGCTCTAATCCTTCGTAAACCATCACTGATTAAGTCCACAATCATTTTACAGGTTCTTAAATGCTAACCACATTTCAAAGAATTACTAATAAGTTCAGTTACTGACTCAGTTTATTCTTTTCATGTTTCAAAAGATTAGAGTTTGTGTTGTTACGTACCCTCTTATCATTGCAAATGATTCATCGCTAGAGAAATATGAAGAACCTGGAAGAACAGTGACTGTCTCCTTACCTGTAAAAGAAATAAGCTATAGTATGTATGTATTTTACCTCTTTGACAGATGAAATCAGAGCTGTTAACCTGAAAATACGGGCATTTTTTATAAAATTCCTTTGGATTCTGTACATCTGTGGACCTGCTTATACTTACTATGTCACACGTAAAACTAATCAATCATAATGAATTGTGACGCAGTTTGTGTCAGTTTTTAATTGTAGGATTGCCTGCTCTCTGACCACCAGCAGTTCCAGGCAAGACATCACAGACACCAGAAGCTATGAAATATCTGTGGACTTCAGCTTTCTGCTCTGTCTACATATAAAGTGAAAGGCAACTCTCTTTTGAAAGAGCCAGCATCTTCAGGAGACAGGGAGGTTGCAAGGAAGAGCAAGCAGATCAAACTGAACAGTCTAGAGTGACAATGATGTAGAATACAGAAAAATAAAGGACAGAGCTAATGTACTCTTGCTTTGTTAAAGTCCGCAAGAAAATGTGCTTCCATGGGCTGTACTGTTCCCTGCACAGTGCCTGGGTCAAGCAATGGAGCACACAAGGAAGTGTCTCATTTTGACTCTGTTGAGAGCCTTCTCTTTCTTCCCTTTGAATCAGCCTAAGCAGCAATCATGTGTACCGAGTGCCTCTGCAAAGGCATAAGAAACATGGTTGAAGGTGAAATTATAAACCAACCAGGGGAAACTTGAGATAAAAAAACCAAAACCAAAACCAAAATACTTTAGCACCAGATGACATTGTGAAGAAAAAGTTAGTGTAACAACAAAGGGGAAGAAGAATGAGACATCATTAAACAGTTTCCAGAAAACAGGGAAAAAGAACTAAGATAAACTACGAGGATGAGAAAAGGGAAGAAATGAAAGTTAAAATAGAGATCTAAGTTACCTGCTGTGGTTTATTGAATTCACTTGATGTGTATTATACGCCAAGACATTGCATCGAAATCAAATTTTGACACACAAAATAGTACAGAATTAAGATCATACAGAACACTCCTGTAGTCTGATCTCAAGAATTCACCATGCAAACATCCAGACCTGCTGAGTCTGCCTAAATTGTCTAAACAGGCCCCCACTCAAGGGAGTGGGAGAGAAGACACTGCCTGCAAGCAGCAACATGGAGCGGGAACCCTGGGATAAAGCAACAAACTAATGCAGCACTGAGAAGAAAGAGACACAGGCTGAGGACCACAGAACAATGTAGTAAGAGCATTGTATCACCCACTGGAAAATGCTCTCAGGAAGTCAGTACTTTTAAGTATTTCCGCTGTAAGACAGAAGTCTACCTTTCAGTGACACTGAAGGTAAACTTCATGTGAGACATTCAGAAAATGGGACCAAAACTCCCTCATATTTTCAGAGAAATACACTTACATTTGCAGATAAAAACTTGCCAAAAGCCCAAACACAAGTGTGTTTCAAAAATGTGGACTTTGGAGGCTGATACCACACCATTCCACTCTATGAGTGAGAACAGAATTAAATCTTATTCCTTTGCCATTTAGCTTCTATTTTCTTCATGTCTTTTTAAATTTGTCTGGAAAGCACCTAGAGTGGTTTTAATCCAACTAAGCGTGAGAGAGATTTAGCAGCTTCTATGTGTTTCAACAATGACAATAATAATAATTTTGGTGGCAGAGTCGAGGTTCACCTATCCTGTGTCCTGTTTACTGTTGCTTCAGAGGAAGATGTAGAGGTGTTTAACACTGAAGTACCAATACTAGAATAATGTGATGTCCATGTTGCCTTCTAACATCTTACGGTAGCTTCATCCCTGCAAGATTATCTCTTCAAAAATATTAATCAATCATAAACAACAGTGCAAGATCATCTTGACATCTGTATAAAAGCACAACAGTTTTTCAGAGTGTTTATCAAGTTATTGGATTTTTTTTTCTATTGTCACTCTGTTAACATGTTCATTTCTAAAGCATCCATATTGGAAAGCAATCATTATATGAGTGCATATAATTTCACCTTTTATAGTAAATGTTTTTAAGTCTAAATAATTTTTCCTTCCAATGACACCTTCAATAATTTATCTAAAAAAACCCCAACAACTCAATTTCAGTTCAAGCATTAACACAGCTCTCATGTGCCTCTGACATTTTCCTTCATACAGTGTATCATCACAACAGTTTCCTAGCTACTGGTGAAGTGCTGGACTCAATTCCTCAGTAATGCCGCATTTCAAATCAGAGGATGGCCTTAAATAACACCTTATTCAAAACACAATATTGAAACAGCAGCAAAAACATAGCAGTATGATTATGGTATAAATTAGTCAAGCCAGGCAGCAAATGTTTCAAGTCAGTGAACAATTGCTGGACTGCACCTGATATCAAATTAAAAGCTTGTTTGATGTCAGCGATTTATCTCCTTTGACTTTTCAAATTTTAACTGCACTTGCTAACAGCAGCTGAGAATGGTACTGTCTAGATGGATAAATGGCCATATATATATATATATGTGTGTGTGTGTGCGTGTATGTCTGTATATGTACATATAAATAAAAAATATAAAATGCATTAGTTTTCCATATGAAAAAAAACCCAACTCTAAGATGCCAGCAATGGATCTACAAGCTATGCCATTAATATCAATAAAAATTCATAAGGTGCTAAGGCCTACTTCTGTTTGTCATAATGCAATATATACATGTAATTTTACATGAAAACAGAGAATGGATACATGTACAACTTGCCATGAGGAAAACAGAAATCAGACAGACCCACTAAACCATAAAAAGTTTAATTTTTTACATTGCATGGCTGCTTCTGAGCTGAAATGCCCCAAAACAGCTGAGCAAAAACAGCATGCGGGGACCGGCACTCCCCCACCAAAGTGGCAAAAGCAGCCACCAGCAGCAAAGCCCTCTAGTGTGTCAGATCCCATTTGGGGAGCTCTTTCCCCCTGCCCTGGCTACTGCTCCCTCTCCAAATGCAAATGAGTTGCATTCCTGACAACTCACTAACCAGGAATAAACCAAGCTGTTGTACACATGACACACTAGAACATATCCCAAACATCAATAATTAAAAACCATTTTCTAGAAGACAAAAGGTAAAAAGTAGCAGGAAAACAAATCCATATTCATATATAGGCTTCACAAGAAAATCTCACTTCTGGAAAGGAAGATTTTACTCTTTACTTGCTGGCCTGGTATAGTTTTCTTCAGTAACTACTAAAATGCATCAAAGTGTAAGCCGTCTAACTAGAATATTAATCATCTCCATTGATCAAAACCAACCTTCCCCTGAAAGAAGACAAATACATTAATATTTATAAATGAATAAAACAGGAGTCTGGGTTCACATACTGAACCAAAAGAAAATTTTCAGATTAACAATGAATAATCACTTTCCATAAATTAATATTATTTAAAGGATTTTACCTGCATTAATCAGGTCTGGATCTACTTCATTTTCAAGTGGATAAGGACCCTGACAACAACATAGACATATGTTAGCTTTATATTAAAATACCTTTGAGACACAATTCATAACTGCTTTAGTATTTCTAATGCTTATTACCATAAACAGATCACCACAGACATGATTTTTTTAATCTTTAGCTGAACAATATCCCGGATTATACAAGCCACAATTTACATCAACTAACAAATCAGGACTGATGGAGATATTGTTAGGATTACTGTTAGAATTACTTAATAACCAGAAAGAGGGGGGTTTGTTTGATGAGAGTGACAGACACTTTTCAGAAAATTGTATGCAACTTCATAAAGCTACACAATAGTGAAAATAAGCAAAGTCTAGCTGGAGGCCAGTCACAAG